CACTCTGCCAACAATAAAAAGTTGACCTTTTGTCTGGATTTCCTCTTGGAAAAATAGCAGGGCACCTAGAACTTGAGCTACAGGGAGACCACATGCAATACTGGTGACCTATTCCTTGTCCTCCACTTTCTCTTTTTTGGTACAGCTTCCAGAGTTCAGTTCCTCTTTGATAATTATGACCCTGAATTAAATATTATTTTGAGCCAGCCGCTCCCCCTCCACTGCCAAGTGCTTCCGTGAGGACTGGGGGTGGCAAGGCAAACGCTGGTGACTGACAGTCACTGGTCTCTGCTTAGAGCTGCAGGGAGAACTGAGCACTCATTGGTGCCTGATCTCTCTGTTCTCAGCCTTAGAGCTGGCAGGGGGACAGACACCGCATCGGATCAATGCTCCATCCACCTAGGTAAGTATATTAAAAAAAAAAAAATCCCAAAGTTCTCTTTTAGGTTAGGCTTTATTGTATTTACAACTTACAACATTTATACATTCTTGGAGATTAGTTCCTTTTTGATTGAAAGCTCCATGAGCAGGGCCCTTCTGAATTCCTTCTGAATTGAACTGTATTGTAATTGTACTGCCCCCCTTTATATTGTAAAGTGCTTCACAAACTGTTGGCACTATATAAATTCTGTATAACAATAATAAAGAGCTATATAATAATAACAAAATAGTGTAATAAAGAAGTAGCAATAGCAGTGACTAGGTGCACAGTGCAGACATGTGCTGGAATCAATTACATTTTTCATTTACTGTGTCAAGTCAGAAAAAGGAATATTTCCCTTGGACGTTTTAGATTAGGCTGCTTATATATGAGAAACCCTGTCACTGAAACCATGGGAAGTGCAGAATCTGGCTGTAATTAGAGATCATGTTTCATAAGGAACTCACCACAGTTTTCCTAGCCAGCTTGGCTCACATTTACAGGTAGCTTGCTCAAGACCTGTAATAGGATTGTTCTCTTCTCTGTACATAAAATTGTAATAAAACAATAAAATCTGGACCAGCCTTACAGCACATTATGTCACTATTGTCTTTTGCATTGACTTATTGAATCCAGCTGACGTTTTTTTTCTCAGCTAAAATATCCTGGTAATAATAAGGATGTTAAAGAGGGAAGTCTTCTGAGTGTAATTTAAACTGCAAAACTAATTTGGCCCCAAGCAACAAAGGAAATCATTTAATATAAAATAATATAATCATCTAGTTTTCACAATTATGCATGGCTTCAGAAATCATGTTTTACTTGTTTGATTTGAAATAAATGCTAAAAGGTGACGGTTGTAAGCGCTAATGGGCTACTGCATAGCATTGCTTGTTGCAGCATTCAAGTGTTTATGGTGTCCATACACCCAGAAGCAGTATTTTAGTTTTAGATCATGCCTGGTGGGCTCAGTCAACTCCTGGCTTTTTAGGCTACATGCACATGGGTGATTAGCACACTGTCCAATTTTCCATCTGCAGACTCCTGTGACTGGAATGACAGTCATGTGCAAAATAGCTGTAGGTGCTTGGTCATTTCAATGTAATGGCACAGCCAGTGATTAGCTCCAGTGATTGTGGCTGGTTGCATTCAAAATGGGTCCACCAACCACTGTTGCAGGTAATTACTGGCTGTGCGAACAGTCACAAATGGCTGCAGTTGCTGTCAGCCTGTCATTTCATTGTATGGCCTGAACATCCCCAGCTGTTCCTACACACCTGTCATTCCAGCCACAGCAACCCATACATTTTCAGCTGGAAATTGCAGTGTGTGCTCAATCGCGCATGATGTAGCTCGATTTGCCCACCCCTGCTTATGTTTTGTATACTCCCAACAGTAAGATTTTTTTTTTTTTTTTTCTTTATTTTTTTTATAATTCCTAAATCCTGCCCCCCCCCCCCCCCCCCCCTCCCAGAATCTTGTTCCAATTCATCTTTGCATGTTCCAGCAGCTTCTGTGGCATTCTTCATAATAAAAAATAAAGACGTACCGGACAAGGAAAACGTGACCTCCTTGTAGTGGTCACAGCAGGTGTACAGACCATAAAACTCCCAAGATATATAAGTTGAACATATAGGGAAAAAAATGCCAGAGAAAGAGAAGTGAATCTTTGACGTCATGTACTGTCCAGGGACTGGAGGAAGGGGGGGGGAAGTGTGGTGTGTGTGTGTATGCAAACTGTGCTCACAAGAACAATTTCCAAAATTGACAAAACTGAGTTTTATAGAACATTTGTTTAGCTCAATACATGAAAGTAAGGTTAATAATATAACTTGGATTACAAAATCTTCTTCAGTTTTACTCAAATTAGTTGATGCAAAAAATGAATACACCCCACAACAAAAACTACTACATCTAGTATTTTGTATGACCTCCATGATTTGTAAGGACAGTACCAAGTCTTCTAGGTATGGGATGAATAATTTGGCGACATATTGCAACATCTATCTTTTTTCATTCTTCAAGAACGACCTCTTAAAGCTGGGATGCTGGATGGAGAGTGATGCTCAACTTGTCTCTTCAGAATTCCCCATAGGTGTTTGTTTGGGTTTAGATCAGGAGACATACTTGGCCACTGAATCGCTTTCACCCTGTTCTTCAGAAATGCAACAGTCACCTTAGATGTGTGTTTTGGATCATTGTCATGTTTTAAAAGTGCACAACAACCAAGGGCACGGAGTGATGATAGCATCTTCTCTTTCAATATAGAGCAGTACATCTGTGAATTCATGATGCCATCAATCAAATGCAGTTCCCCAACACCAGCAGCACTCATACTGCCACAACCATGTTTCACTGTAGGCACCATGCATTTTTCTTTGTTCTCCTTACCTTTGCAACGCCTTACAGTTTTGAAGCCATCAGTTCCAAAAACATTTATCTTGATCTCATCACTCCAGAGTGCAGAGTCCCAGTAATCTTCTTTTTTCAGCATGGGCCCTGGCAAATTCTAGGCCTGCTTTTTTGTGCATGTGCTTTAGAAGAGGCTTCCTTCATGGACGATACCCATGCATGCCATTCCTCTGCAGTGTATGCCATATTGTGTCATGGGAAACAATCACCTCAGTTTGGCTTTCTACTTTAGCTAATTTCAGTGAACTTCTATGGAGATTTTCTTCAACCCTTCTCATCAGAAGACGCTCTTGTCGAGGTGTTAACATCTAAGGATGGTCTGGACAACTCTGTGAGATGCTTGCAGTTCCATATTTGTTACATTTTTGTATCACTTCTGCTACAGTATTCTGACTGATAAGTAAAGCTTTGCTGATCTTCTTGTAGCCTTCACCTTTCTTGTGTAAAGAAATTTTGTTCTTTCTCAGACCTTGTGACATTTCTCTTCCATGTGGTGCCATTGCTGACAGCATGAAAGGGGTTTTCTTTAAGTAACGCCCTTTTATAATCAACATGTCTGCTGGACATCTGTTTAATGAATAATTAGACCCACTGCAGTTGAATAACTGTTAAGTAGGATTTTGTAGTCTAAAATTGAGCTTTTGCTCCTAAGACTTTCATTGGGGTGTATTCATTTTTACAACATGATCTTGAATGAATTTGTTAGGAAAAAATACTTTTTTTGTGTGTACAAATTAACAAATCTTGTTTGCAATCAATGGCCCGCATTTGTGGGAGTAATCTTTTTTTTTTATCTCTCTATCTATCTATCTATCTAATCTATCTATCTATCTATCTAGGTGGATTTGATTTAAATCACTAGTCAGTAAGGCTTGATTTAAATCCTAGTTTTCTACATAGACTAATTCTTGCTGGTATAACTGTAATATGCAAGTAGATGAAGATTTTTAGAATAACAACTTTTCATATTAGTTTTTTTTATCCCCAGTTTAATAGGTTAATCATTCATATTTGGACAACTTTTCTGTTGTACTTAGGAAGGAGAAAAATAATCATTACCTTTTAATAATAACAATTTAAATAGATTTATTCAACTGAAACAATAACATTCCAGCATATGTTATTTGCTTAAACAAACATCCATTGTTTGTTAACTAATTTGGCTAAACAAAATATATATATTTTAAGAAACTTAGACTCTCAGCAGCCTTTTCCTCCTCACACTTAGTTTCACTTTCTTCTTGTGCAGATCTATTCCACTCCAAACAATCAGAAAAATATTGTTTCGTTTCTATTCACTGAACTTCTTGAAACTTAGCACTGAAGGGGTTGATTCTGTATTCATAGGTTTGTAGAAGTTAGGATTAAGGTCTTTTTCTTAACTCTGTTCATGTTATAACATTTTTGCTGTGAAGAAGAGGCATGTGATCTCCGCTGAGTCAAATTCAGTTTTGAGAACTGCAAAAGTAAACCGAGCATCTGTGATAATATCTTGTAGGCAGAGAAACTGCCCAATAATCTTACAAAAACCTCTGGAAGAGCATAACATTGTGAATGGATTAATGGAATTTATTTACCAAAAAAATTAAACATATACAGCCTTATTCTACATAATTAAAAAAAACTAATCTTTATTTCATGATGGAATAACCTTTGGATGGTAATATATTTTCCTCAAAGTATTTTGTTTAAAAAAATCGATTTTTAAATAAAAAAAATGATTTTTTTTTTTTTTTTTTTTTCTTTTAAATCATTGATTTTTATCCACCCTGATAGAGAGATAGAGATATATATTATATATATATATATATATATATATATATATATATATATATATTAGATAGATAGAGATATATATAAATATATGGATAGATAGAGAGAGATATATATAGATAGATAGATAGATGGATAGATAGAGAGAGATATATAATATAGATAGAGATAGAGATATAGATATAGAGAGAGATATATATAGATAGATAGATGGATAGATAGATAGAGAGAGATATATATATATATATATATATATATATATATATATATATATATATATATAAATAAATGTAAAATGAAGAAAAAACATTTAGGTAGACTTATTCCTTAAAAAAATATATATACAATTTCCTTGTGTGTGTATGTATTATTACAGCTTGTTTTTAATTTTCAGGAAGAAAACAAGATTCTCTTTTACCATCCAAATGAAATAGAGAAGAATGAAAAAATAAAAAATGTTGGTTTATGTGAAGCAATTGTGCAGTTTACCAGGTATGTGATCGACACACACATGTATTGTTGTGCTTAGCTTTATGTTGTCATTTCAGAGGCATATTTTACTTGCCAATACTTCTGGGCAGGTTGCCCAGCTTATAACCTGTGCAATGGAGAAAATGACTGAATGTTTGTTTCAGATATACAGGAAACCAGCACGTTTTGGGGATCTGTATCTCCTTCTTAGGGCTAGCATTAGACACAATATATAAACCATTAGACCAGTATGTTTTTACCACGCTGGTGTAACTGTTCATATAATGTGTATTTCTAGTCCTGAAGAATGGGATACAGATCCAGTAAATTGTATTTTCTTGCATACCTTCAAAAACCCCATTTGGTTGTTTTCAGAAGTTCAGTTCGTACTTTGTATTTGTATTGGATGCAGGCATTGTCCCTCTTAATAGAGTGTAGTGCTGGTGACTTTCTACTCTGTCAGTAAAACACAAAGAGTCCTAGTACCTGAAAGTTGCTGATCAAGTAGCCACGGCTTTAACCTTTGTTGGGCTGTGGTAGCCTGTAACTTCAACTGACTGTTTCTTGCTTACAAAAGTAAGGTAACTCCTCTTTTAGAGAGTTGTCACTGTAACAAATGTCCTAAATTGGAGATATCCCCTCTCTTCCTTAAACCTAAACCACTTAAAATTTTGGATTTTTCCTCACTTTCACTCCCAATGTCAATGGTCACCACAGCAAATTGAGTAAACGTCTTTAACTGGAACATCTACAGCAATAAAAACCTGACAGTGTATCTATTTCTTCACCAATCTATCCAAAACTTTTAAAAGGATTTGACATAAGATGCACTATAATGTGGACCATACCATTCTACCCTGCAAAGCCAGAAGGGCATCAGAGCTATTTGAATTTACAGCTGTGTAGTTCCTTTTGTGTTCTGCTTGCTTTCCAAGCAATTAATAAATATGTTCATCTGGAACAGTTGAATTTACTCTCATTGACTGGTCTCTTTTGTTTATTGTTTAGAACCTTTAACCCGTCAAAACCAGCGCAGTCATTACACACACAGAAGAATAGACAGTTTTTCCATGAACCTGAAGAAGGATTTTGGATGGTTATGGTATGATTTTAAAACTTTTTATTTTTTTTCTTTTATTTATTCACATAGACTTTTAAAATGCTACTCCTCCCAAAAAGTGATGTTTTAGGTATAAGTGAAGCCTTATATTCTGAGTCATCTCCTGAGTTTTTTAAATTAGGTTTATACTCAAGCATTGGGATCTTATTACTATAATTCCTGACTGTTTTTTGTTCACTTTAGAGTGTGTTTCCACCCACCTTTTTGTGTGTTGCATCCTGTTGCTTTCTCCATAATATAAATAAAAAAAATCCAACATGGAGAATGGGAAGCCCTAATAATGGCCATAGTACAGGTGGAGAACCAGGAACTAAAGCACTTCGATCTTATCAACAAAGTCCCTGAGAAATTAAATAAATTTTGATCATTGTGAATCTTGGATGTTTATCTATAAGCTATTGATTTATTGATAGCAGGTATTACACAAAAGGTAGTAATGATATGACGACTGACTCATTGTATTGTGATAAAATCTTAAGGTGGTGAAAAATCCGGTTGTAGAAAAACAAAAAGATGGCAAGTCTGTTCTAGAATACCAGGAAGATGAGTTACTTGTAAGTATATAATGATATAGTTTTAGAACTTTCTGAATGCAAATGCTTTTTTTTTTCTACTTTTAAATGGTAAATCACAAACTGGCATTCCCATTCAGTGCAAAGATTTAGTTTTGTCTTTGTCTTTATACCCTGTACCTCCCCAGCATATGTTTATTCTTCCTTCCTTCAGCAAAGAGGAACATGTGACTCACTTGATGTGTTGGCACCCTCCCCCCTGCTCCTTCCTCACTGGCTGTGATTGACAGCAGCAGGAGCCACTGCTGTGTCTGAGCCAGTGAGGAGGGAGAGCCGGGAGAGCCCTCTATGCTCGTAAAAATCACTGGATCGGGTTCAGGTGAGTATAGGTGAGGACTGGGTGAAGCTGCACTCAGAAGGTAATATAAACCATATAAATGCTGCGCTACATTCAAATTAAAGTGAATGTGGAATCCAATGACACAAATCTAATATAGTGACAATAATATGGAAATAAATATATAAGTGCTTGATAATAACAAAAATCATCAAATCAAACACCCAAAAGATGAAAAAACAAAAACTTAAATCTATACGCATGTGCATAAATTACACATACATATAGTTACATCACACGTGCAAATGTGAAGTGAAATAATATTTACTTATTAAGCGCAAAAAAAGTCCAATATATAAATGTTAAAGGTGAAAAAATGTAAACGGTGTTTCCAATAATATTATAAAGTGACCACAGGTGAAACAAATCGTGCAGGTATCTGAGTGTAGATAGAACTTGTGAATCCAACCACCTTCTGGATTAGCCTCTCACCTCATCACTTCGACCCTTGCGGATCAAAGAGCAATAATGGATCCCTCTCACAGATCCTCCAGGCACCACAACACTCCAGAAACGCTTTTCAGAATTCAATATTCCCACTTAAACTCTTCTCCAGGTATAGATGAAATATCAATCTCTCAGAACAAAAAGAGGAATCCTCCCATAGTGTAGCATATTTATTATACCATAGGAACATAGGAACATAAAACTTGTTGGTAAAAAATTCCACTTACATAGCAGCCAGTCCACATGAGACCCTCATGCTCTCAGATGAGGATATATCTGTGTTTGTTGGGTGTACAGCTGAATAACAGGTGTACCAAGATGGCCGCCACGCCGGAAATACGTCACCGCGCTTACGCCGACGCGTTACGTCACAATATCACGTGACTTCATCAGGGCCCTGATGAAGTCACGTGATATTGTGACGTGATATTGTGACGTAACGCGTCGGCGTAAGCGCGCGGTGACGTATTTCCGGCGTGGCGGCCATCTTGGTACACCTGTTATTCAGCTGTACACCCAACAAACACAGATATATCCTCATCTGAGAGCATGAGGGTCTCATGTGGACTGGCTGCTATGTAAGTGGAATTTTTTACCAACAAGTTTTATGTTCCTATGTTCCTATGGTATAATAAATATGCTACACTATGGGAGGATTCCTCTTTTTGTTCTGAGAGATTGATATTTCATCTATACCTGGAGAAGAGTTTAAGTGGGAATATTGAATTCTGAAAAGCGTTTCTGGAGTGTTGTGGTGCCTGGAGGATCTGTGAGAGGGATCCATTATTGCTCTTTGATCCGCAAGGGTCGAAGTGATGAGGTGAGAGGCTAATCCAGAAGGTGGTTGGATTCACAAGTTCTATCTACACTCAGATACCTGCACGATTTGTTTCACCTGTGGTCACTTTATAATATTATTGGAAACACCGTTTACATTTTTTCACCTTTTAACATTTATATATTGGACTTTTTTTGCGCTTAATAAGTAAATATTATTTCACTTCACATTTGCACGTGTGATGTAACTATATGTATGTGTAATTTATGCACATGCGTATAGATTTAAGTTTTTGTTTTTTCATCTTTTGGGTGTTTGATTTGATGATTTTTGTTATTATCAAGCACTTATATATTTATTTCCATATTATTGTCACTATATTAGATTTGTGTCATTGGATTCCACATTCACTTTAATTTGAATGTAGCGCAGCATTTATATGGTTTATATTCACTTGATCACTGGTATATGATTAATGCTAGCAGCTGTTTGGGGTTCATATATTTAATTTGTTTAATTGTTTAAACACAATATTTGGAGCGCAGGAGGGTCACACCACTATTGCAGTCAGAAGGTGCTTTTTTTTTTTTTTTTTTTTTTTTTTTTTTTTTTTTAACCTTCATGCTTAGAATATATAAAAAAAAAAACCCTTCTGCCTTGGTCATCACTTTAACCAGTTCAGCTCTTTGGACATACTATGTACAACCAAAGAGTGAACCATTAAACACAAGTTGATGGCTGCATATCAGCCATCAGCTTGTGCATGTTTTCTTCAGGAGGCTCCTGGTTTCAAAGTGAAAGTGATGTGGTGATTTTATATCCTCCGATTCGTTTCATAGAGTGGGTGGCACAGGGCCAGCGGGTCCCCCATGGTTACTGGGCTCTCCTGCTCTTACTGGGACCACATCCACCAGTTCCAGGATGGAGAGCGAGGCAAATCCATGTGAGAACATGTAAACAACAGAGCGGAAGTGACAATGATTTCATATCCCCCATTTCCTGCCAGTACAGCCAGGGGACACATCTAACCAAACCAATATGTGCTTGGTTAGATCTTTTGAAGGGCAGGGGAGACATTGGGGTCTATTAGACCCCTAATGTCTCCATAAAGAGTACCGATCGCCTTCACAATGCTATCACATGGTGGTTTATTAACCCTTTGTGATAGTAATCAAGTAAAAAAATAAAATAACACTTAAAAAAAATTGTGAAAAAATGTATTGAAAAAAAATTTGCCATAACCACCGTTTCCCAATATAAATTGCAGTCACATCACACGTGTCATAGTGCAGTGAACGTCAGAGTGAGAGCAGTGATTCTAGAAATAGAGCTCCTGGTTAGCTCTAAACGGATGAGTAATAAAGGCTTTTAAAGCTTACCTACGGAGATTTTTGGGTACCATAGTTTTTTGTGATATAATGGGCGCTCACAAATATAAGACTTGAGATGTTTGGTATCTATTTACTCGAGCCAACCTTTTTTTTTATCTTTTCCTAAAAAAGGGGTGTTATGTTATGTGTGTTTGCACTAAAATTGGTTTTATTATTTTTCCAGAAATTTGAGTGTACTAAACCGTTGCACAAATATCATGTGAAATGAAAAAAATCTAAACATTTGCAGCTATCATATTTTTATTCCACAGGGCCTCTGCTTTGAGAAAATATATATGTTTAAGTAGATTATTCCCAAAAATGAAGACTTTTACATGTGTGCAAAAAATGCTAACATTTGCTCTAGAGCCAAACTGGTTAGAAAAGAAAGACTACTGCAACATTCATAAAGAACAGTTCTTTCAGGACAGGAAGCCAGCAGATTGCAATAAAATTGAGAAGAATGCCATGTCATATGGCTTGTTAAAGTCATGTGATTTAGCTCTCCTTCACTCAGTGTTCTGTGGGATATTGTAGGCGCCAAACCACAGGCTGCTTTTTGTGAATGGGCTGGAAAATTCAGGCCGCTGTGTAGAGTAACCTTATAGAGTATAATGGAGAGCATTTTTTCTGATATTTTTACCTGTACGCAAAGACATCTTGACAATTTGACTGGCTGATTCCTGCTGTCAGCTTACCTATAGGGCAATCAAAGGTATTTATGACCATTGGACTATTGTTACTATACACAGGTACTATACACTATAGTGAACAGGAAGGTGTCATCCACATTCTTTAGTCAAGCTGGCCATAGATGGCATAGATTCCTCATGATCAGCCTGTTGGCCGAACATTTAAAAAATCTAGCAGATTCCTACATGCATGCTAAGCAGCACAGATTAATTAATCGCCCCTGCTAACTATTGCACTCTGACAGCCTGCTTTCCTCCCCATACATTTTGTGTCATGGTTGGCTGTGATGGCAGTTGTAAGTTATTAAAGATTACCTTCTTGGCCGCAGGGATTGTTTTCCAATAAAGTGCATATGAAGGCGAAATAATGCCTTCAATCCAAATTGAAGCAAAACTATTATGTTGGTATTTGACTACATGATGCATTTGTACACTCAGACATTTTGCTTTTGTGGAAAAAAAATTTCCATCAGCACCATATGTGAAATAATCCCATTATCAGCACATCATTTTAAGGAAACCATGCCCTGGGAAAGACACTTTCGATGGTGTTGTTGTGGGGGGGAATTTACTAAAGCTGGTTCACTTAGAATCTGGTGCATCTGTGTAGGGTAGCCAATCGGCATCTAAACTCAGCTTGTTCTGTTAAGCTTTAGCAATAAAACCTGGAAGCGGATTGGTTTTCTTTGCAGAAGTGAGCCTGCTTTTGCACACTCCAGCTTTAGTAAATAAACCCCTATGTCTCCCTTTGCCAGGAAACCTGTTGAATATACACTAATCAGCCATAACAATATGAGCACTGACAGGCAAAGTAAATAGTATTGATTACCTTGTTACAATGGCACCTGAAAGTGGATGGGAGTTAATTGGGTGGCAAGTGAGCATGTTGTCCCTGAGGTTCATGTGTTTAAAAGCAGATAAAATGGGGGAAGCAAGAATTTGAGCCACATTGACAAGGGCCAAATTGCAATGACTAGATGACTGGGTGAAGTGTTGACTTGGCCTTCAAATTCTCCAGATCTCAATCCAATCAAGTATCTGTGGGATGTGCTGGAAATACAAGCCCAATCCATAAAGACCCCACCTTGCACCGTACAGGACTTAAAGGTTCTGCTACTAACTGCTTGATGCCAGATACCACAGCATCCCTTCAGAGGTCTAGTGGATGCCTTGATGATTTATAGTGGATGGTGTTATGGCTGATCTGCGTAAATTCCTTTGTGTAAGCTCTTTCCCTTGAGTCCTTCTCTAAACTATGGAAAAAAAATACTCCGCTTTCATGAAATAATGCAGACTTTCAATGCTTTGAGCTGTGCTTCCAGGCGATGTGATGTAGGAGAGGGGTGTGCACAGACACAGCAACTTAGAGCTACTTGTTATCTGAACAGCCACACAAATATTCATCTATGCCAAGTCCTGACTTGCAGAGCAACAAAAAACAAAATTAAAGCTCTCTAATGTGCATTCTTTCAAATTATGAATCAAAGTAAACCTGTTATGTGAGAAAAATTGAGGCTGCCATCATTGGTCTACTGAAAATACTAGTTGCTTGGCTGTGTCTGGCTTGGAACAAGCATGCAGTAAATAAAATTCAGATTAAAGTCAGAGTTCTTTATCAATATAGTTTTGGTGTGAATAAGAAAATAATGAAAACAAAGCATGAGCACACAAGCCAGGCAAGTAAAAGAGCATCAATGGCAGTCTACATGTTTCTATTTTGACAAGCTTCCTTTTTAGACCACATTGTCTAATTCAGTTGTATTTGGGCAATTTTCTTGATAAGATTTATTACTTTATAATTTCTTCACTTACAGGATAAAGTATATTCCTCAGTACTTCAGCAGTGCTACAAAATGTATAAGGTATGAGATCTTAACACTTTCATTTTGAGCCAAGTAAACTTGGACAGACAACTTTCATCTTGATTAGACATCTATACATATAATACTTACCTTGGTTAGGATCAAATAAATTTTAGGTTAGTTTCCAAATGCATGACATGTATAAAAGTTCTTGGAGGACGCATCAATGTCCGAATGTCTTTAAGGCAACCCTACCACAACACAAAGTAGATCTACCAACACCCCCCCCCCTCCCTCCCCCCGGAAACAGACAGTGGCCCTTACTAGAAATTCCAAGGGGAATAGACAAAAAGAACACCAGCTGGTTATCTTTCCGAAATTACCCCTTTTTGGAAAGTGGACAGTTCAAGGTATTTAAGAGGCATAGCAAGTTTTTTTTTTTTTTTTTGTTTTTTACATAGTATACCTATCTATACTTACCATAGTAACACTGTACTACTCTGGGGAAGTATTCAGGATTTTTTTTCTTCTTTACACGCAAGGATTACTTATACCAGTGAATTTCAGGGTTATAAGCAACCATTTTTACTGAAATGAAATCAATTCATTCAGTATTTACTATGGTGTTTTAGCTGTGATTGACCACAACCAATCACATTGTACAAGTGGGTTGTCATTGGCCTTGTCTGTACCATGTGATCACTGTGACGAATCACAGAGATCAACACAATAGTACACAGTGGATGGCATGAATGAACGTCATCCATTGTTTACAATTGTCATGTGATCTGCTGTGATTGATCTCATGGTACCGGCAGCGGTGACAGATCGCAGAGCAGCCTATGGGGCACATTCCAGGGAGGACATCATATAATGTCCACCCGGAACAATGCGCGTCCCGTCTGGCCTTCATTTGTATATAGGCCAGGCTGGAACCGGTTAAAAAGGAAATATGGCTTTTTTGGAAAAAAAACAAAAAACATCATATTCTCCTAGATGACAGCAGAATGATCCCAGCTGCAGCTGTCCCCCTCCTCATGCAAGCCCAAGAACTGAGTGTCACTGGCACTCTGCTCTTCCTCTCCAGTGCTCACTGGAGCACTGGGCTGTGGAGGGGCCAGAAGCGACTGGCTCCTACTCTGAGCCTGAGCTCGCTGCTGGTTCAAGCATGTGTCTGGATCCCGACTGTAAAGTTCGGGATCTTTCCCAAGCCTGGGCCAGCTGAGTGACGTCAGCCAACAGCAGGTTTTAGCTCGCTGTTGGCTGAAAATAGGTCACGGAGTGCAGAACGAACTGCAATCCTGTGATCCAAAGGAGAAGCATAGCCAAAATTGCTTTGGCAGTACTTCTTGAAATATTTTTCTGTTGTCTCAGTTTTATCGATCATAAATAATGATGGACTCTTAAGATGACCAGCAAGCAGGCACTGTATTTGTCTATTTCCCATAGAAACTTAGGTGACAGAGCCTAGTTGCTGTGTGTCCTTTGGCACACCAGGCTGCCCTGCTTAATGTCAGCTGTTGCTGGTATTAGGTATACTTTAAATTTACAGTTTTACAACTGCAGGATGGAGGCTACAGTCTGTGGATAAAAACAAAAGTGTTGCATTTCATGGTAACATGTCTGAGAATATATTTAGTACACATGTCTTTTTAAATTATCTGACTATCCCTACCTTAGTGTTTTTGTGTTTTTTTTATACTTCTCTTTTAACCAGCTTATTTAGCAGCAAAGTACTTTTTTATTTGAGGCTTACAACAAAATTAACATGTACATTTTTGTTTTCTTTCCCTGTACAGCTATTTAATGGAACATTTAACAAGGCTATGGAAACTGGTGGAGTAATAGTGCTAAAAGACAGACTGGAGAAATTCTTTCATCGGGTAATTTTTTTATATATGTATTTCTGACACTAATTTTAAGTAGTGAGTTGTAAGATCCTAAATTGAACCTGTACTTGGTGAATATTTGGCAAAATAATGGGTTCCCTCTACTGTATGAACCCTTACCTTTTTATTCTGTCCCCCACTGCACTGATTTGCTTACAGAGGGCTCAGAAATTCATGGTCAGTTTTGACTTAGTCTTCCACAGGCTGTGCATGCTCCTTAATGCACTCACATGACAGCACTTGGGCCTTGTGATTGAACTCTCAGGCACCACACAGTGGGAGGCAGAGGCTGTGTCTCATCTGGAAATGTACTGCTTCCCTATTTCAGTAGTGGATCAGTGCATTGGTGGAGTGAGTGAAAGGTAAGTAAATCCTCTTAAGTGTCCCAAAGTGACCCTGCAGCTTTACTTAATATGTGGAAAGTACATGTTCTCGTTAAAGAGAACCCCCTGTAAAAATAGAAATGCTTGCTAAAAGCATTTATAGTGTTCTCCAACTACCTATAAATCCTAAAAGGGGACAACTGTTTTTCCGGGCAGAGACCAGAGCAGGCGATCCATTGGGAAGAAGGTGGGCTGGAGGCAGTGAAGAAGCCAAGGTTTCTATAGGAAAGGTTCATGAAGAAGAATGTAGATTACTTAGACACATGAGTACAGAAAGGTTATGACCAGTTGGACAACGTCGGTGACTTTGATTTTGTGTTCTTCATCCCACAGTATTTACAGACATTACACATGCAGTCTTGTGATCTGCTCGATGTTTTTGGTGGCATCAGCTTTTTTCCGTTAGATAAAATGACTTACCTGAAAATCCAGTCATTCATTAACAGGGTGGAAGAAAGTCTCAGTCTTGTGAAGTACACGGCGTTCTTGTACAATGACCAGCTGATATGGTAGGTCAGATATGCTGATTATTTTTATTTATGATTATATGGCATGATTTTCATTTGTCCTGCAGCAATAGCTTATTTGTGTGCAAAGGATGTTAAAATGTAACTCAATGCAAGATTAGAAGCCTTTTTTTTTATTATTTTTTTTTTTTTTTTTGGGGTGCAGTTCCCAAACAAGATAAACAGTTGAAATATACTGTCATCTGTGGAAGTAATCCCATAATAACAGGAGAGGTGTCTATCTTGTTCCAGGGTCCCTATGTTTTAGAGAATTTATATCTGTCATACAGATTTGCAGATAGTTCTTCCACCCATTTGAGGGAATGCATCTCAGTTATTCATTCATTGATTGAAGGGACAGTCGTTGACCTCCAATGTCTGCGAATAACAGACCTATACAAACAAATGGCAACCACCCAACCTATAGCTAGCCTTTGCAGCAAGGAGCCTGTGGAAGGGCGCATGTCAAAAACAAACAAAAATTCACAGCTAACTTACAGCCAGCCTGCAACAAAACCGAATTGACGCTGTCTAACAGCTCACGTTAAAAACAGAGTTCAGTTGCACACATCTGCAAATATATGCGTAAGCTGCAATGGATGGGTCAAGTCACCCCAGTGTTTTGCAGTCCTAACTTTATCATTTTTGAGTCTCCCAAGTTGGAACACATATGCCTATAGTAATAATTAGGTTGAGGGTAGGTGTGCCTGGAGGGAGCCCACCCCTGTTTAAAGGTACAGGGACGTGCGGCACACCCAGCAAGGGCACAATGACAGCTGAAGGTATCCAATGTGTCCCTGTAAGAACTCATCAACTATACAAACAAATGGCAACCACCTCGAACTATAACTAGCCTTTGCATCAGGGAGCACATGGAGGGGGAAACACACATCCATAACTGACCTAGAAGGTATAAGAATCTAAGGAGCCTCTTCAAGGATATGGATACAAAGCCTGGTAATACCGACAGAGGAGCTAATTGTGGAGTACAAATGACTTTAGTTGACATAATGGGATCATAACAACCCTTTTTTTAAAATACTGATTGAATAAGCAGAAGGACCCATGATCTTATCTGAATGGCCAGTCTTCTGGATTAAAGGTATACTAAAGGTGTTTTTTGTTGTTTTTTTTTTTTTAAAAAGAAGTGTGTGTGTTTGTGGTGGGGGTGGGGCTTTAGGGTGGGTGGAAGGAGTGGGGTGAGAGTCAGATAAACTGGAGTTTTGCTTTAGCTCTTGGGTTAAAAAGGCATGTATGTGATTCTTTTAGCCCTGCAATGGGAATACCAGTAATGCCTGAAAATGCTAAGTCCCCATCCCAGGAGTTTTATTCCTTTCAACACCCCCAGCCACTATTTGAGCGTTGATTTGTCAGATGGTAATAATAGTTGTATTGATTTTTTCCTTGATCTTATTTATATCCTCATCTGATTATTGCCACAACAATAATACTCCTTGAACTGGAAAATAATGTTATCAAGCCCCTAGGGTCTAGCGTGTGGTGGTCAATTGGTCAAATTACTTGCATTTGTTGACGCTGCGGTTATCCAAAAGTGTGGAAAACACGTAACTTCCCAAGTACGTGGGTGGAGAAAACCTGCCTCCATGCAGAAGGTGCTCTCTGTGACTCAGGGTTCTATGTGGGGTTACCAAACAATCGTTACTTTGTAAAATTGAACCTGACTGAATTCCAGTGCATTTGGTACTATATGTACAAGTAGCAAACCATTTTTATTCAAGCTGAACTGCAGTCTTGCACAGAACTTCTCACAATGTAGCAGGTCACATAGAACACATCTTTTTTCCTGATAAGAGGATGTCCAGAGCTTTTCTTTATTTTGGATGAAGTGGAGAGGGACTAGGAAACTGGTCATGTTTTTATTGCGGTCTGTGCGGCAGTTAGGGAGATTGAGCCTCTCTATTTGTCTTCCTTACTGTAATCGTGAGTGAAAGTGAAAAGAGAAATCCTAGCTCCTCCCAAATCTTCCAGTGGGGATTCTAGTTCTGGTGGCAGCCAGGGATTCCCTCACTTTGGAGAGATTTCCTCTCACTTTCTGATTTGGCTGTGGGACAGCAAATGAAAGGAAATCTCCCCAATAGTAGACATTATGGCCCTAGAAAGTGTTTCCTCTTTTAGATTTACTTTAACTCCCCAGCCTGTATGTCCCTGGCTAGCCTCTTTATTCACTGAATTTCTGTTTATAACAAACATAGATCAGTAAAATGTATCTGCATAAGTGGAGTTACAATGACAATGTAAATCGGATGATATACTCAGACTTCAATGCTTCCTATACAGTGAAGGAAATTAGTATTTGATCCCCTGCTGATTTTGAATGTGTGCCCACTCACAAAGAAATGATCAGTCAAAAAATCGAATGGTAGGTGTATTGTAACACTGAGAGAATAGCAACAACAAATTCAAAAGAAATGCATGTCTAACAAATTATGCATTGATTTGCATGTTCATGAGGGAAATAGGTATTTGATCCCCTATCATTCAGCAGGATTTATGGCTACCACGTGTCTTTCATACAGGTAACAAGCTGAGATTAGAAGCAGTCTCTTAAAGGGAGTGCTGCAAATCTCATTTTGTTACCTGTATAAAAGAACAATCAAACAATCAGATTACAAACTCTCCACCATGAGCTGTCCAAGGATGTCAGGGACAAGATTGTAGACCTACACAAGGCTGGACTGGGCTGCAAAACTATTGCCAAGCAGCTTGGTGAGAAGGTGACAACAGTTGGTGCAATCATTCGCAAATGGAAGAAACAAACCTCTGGTGCACCATGCAAGAGTGAGTGTCAATGATCATGAGAATAGTGAGGAATCATCCCAGAACTACGCGTGAGGATCTCCAGGCAGCTTGGACCACAGTCGCCAAGAAAACAATTGGTAACACACTACACCGACAAGGACTGAAATCCTGCAGTGCTTGCAAGATCCCTCTGCTCAAGAAAGCACATATCCAGGCCCGTCTGAAGTTTGCCACTGAACATCTGAATGATGCAGTGGAGGACTGGTTGAAAATGTTGTGGTCAGATGAGACCAAAATCGAGCTCTTTGACATCAACTCAACTCGCCATGTTTGGAGGAGGAGGAATGCTGCCTATGACCCCAAGAACACCATCTCAACTGTCAAACGTGGTGGAAACATTCTGCTTTAGGGGCGTTTTTCTGCTAAGGGGACAGGATAACTGCACCACATCAAAGGGACAATGGACGGGGCAATGTACCGTCAAATCTTGGGTGAGAACCTTCTTCCCTCAGCCAGGGCAGTGAAAATGGGCCATGGATGGGTGTTCCGGCATGACAATGACCCAAAACACACGGCCAAGGCAACAAAGGATTGGGGCAAGAAGAAGCACATTAAGGTCCTGGAGGGGCCTAGCCAGTCTCCAGACCTTAATCTGATTGAAAATATGTAGAGGGAGCTGAAAGTTCGAGTTGCCAAATGTCAGCCACCAAACCTTAATGACTTGGAAATGACTTGGAAAGGATCTGCCAAGAGGAGTGGGCCAAAATCCCTCCTGAGATGTGTGCAAACCTGGTGGCCAACTACAGGATCCGTCTGACCTCTGTGATTGCCAACAAGGGATTTGCCACCAAGTCATGTTTTATGAAGGGGATCAAATACTTATTTCCCTCATGAACATGCAGATCAGTGCATAATTTGTTAGACATGTATTTCTTTTGAATTTTTTGTTGCTATTCTGTCTGTGTTACAGTACACCTACCATTCGATTTTTAGACTGATAATTTCTTTGTGAGTGGGCAAATATTCAAAATTAGCAGGGGATCAAATACTTATTTCCTTCGCTGTAATTTCGGAGCAGTCGCTGTTTCTTTGGCTAGGTGTTATTAGAATCCCCGTAATTGCAGGCCAGCCAGTAGGAGGAGCAGTCAGCTATCCCTGCAGTATTTGTACATTTTTCACTGTCTGTGCCCGGTGCCATTATATAGTGGGTATCCCTAGCTATAATTCTGTATATAGCTCTATACATAGGTGATGGGGACAGAAATATCCACCTGTCACTGTAGCTAGCTTACCATCTCAGGTCATGTGTCCTATTTCTGAAAAGGAATGAGTTGCACTAATAATTTACGACCCCAGTGTAAGTTGGTGTGAAAAGAGGGAGCAAATTAGATGTGTGGCTTACCAGTCCTCAGCACTCTCTCTTCTGAAGAGTGACAAGGTACACATGTTAAATTTCACCCTTCCTCATTTAAAAAAGTATCTGTTGCAAAGCTAAAATCTCTCAAGCCATTGATGGAATCTGCCTTTCTTCAGTTCAGTCTACCCAAAGTGATATCATTTTTCAGTGTAGCTACATTGGCTCAGCCCCACTGCAACTAAACAAGCGTGCAGCCTGTGAGACATAAGCAGTGTGCCTAAACCTTTCTGGCAGAGATGTTGCCTTAAAGTGATATTAAAGGTTAGTTTTTTTGTTGTGTTTTCTTTTACATAACAAACATGTTATACTTACCTGCTCTGTGCAATGGTTTGGCACAGAGCAGACCCAATGCTCTTCTTCTTGGGTCCCCTGCTGGCACTCCTGGCGCCTTCACCTTGACCAGTGCCCCAATAGCAAAGTGCTTGCTTCTGAGCTCAGCTCTATTGGTCGCTGCTGTGTCTCGGCCAATGAGGAGAGAGAGACCCGGGATAGCCGAAGGCTCCTGTGTACATCACTGGATCGAGAGGGGGCTCAGGTGAGTATTAGGGGGGACTGGGAGGGGTAAATAGCGCTCCATCATTGGTGTCAGTGGGAGGAATAGCACCCCATCATTGGTGTCAGTGGGAGGAATAGCGCCCCATCATTGGTGTCAGTGGGAGGAATAGCGCCCCATCATTGGTATCAGTGGCAGGAATTGCGCCCATCATCAGTGGGAGGAATTGTGCCCCATCATTGGTATCAGTGGAGGAATAGTGCCCCATCATTGGTGCCCCATCGTTGGTGTCAGTGGAAGGAATAGCGCCCCAATCAGTGGGAGGAATAGCGC